TTTTGTTTTAATATTTGGTTTTTGTAAATGTTTTAAATGCACAATTAATTAGAACCACAAATTCTTTACTTAAAAAGAAAAGTGACAAAGTTTAAAAGACGGAGGAGCATTGTTTTAAATAAAGAACCATCCGTCCAAATCTTGAAGTTTTATTTTTTTCCTTTATGAATTTAATTGTTAACTAATGAGTATTTCTTTGCATAATAATTCTATAAAATGATACGTTAATGTCCATTTTACATCAATGGTTGCCTTATATTCTACTCTATACAGGGCCGTCTTTTAGCATGTTAATTAGGTTACACGGAACAGGGTTCCACTTCCCATGAGGCCCATATTTATAAGGCACTTGTAGTATTATTTTTTAGGCCACTAACATTAATTAATTGATTATATTTATAATATACAGAGTAGTAGTGTATACTATCGTATATGATTATGGGTTGCGGCTAAATTTATACTCCACTACTCCGTATAATAAGGCAAACATAAATGAAACACTTTTAAAAAATGTAGACTAATCATTTGAAAAGGAAAATTTGCTATATATAATTTTTTAATTTCACTATTTAATGAGTTTTCAATTGATTTGAGTATAATAAAAATTTAAATCGGATAGGGGGCCTCAAATTTGTATCTTGAACAGAGGCCTCCAAATTCCGGCCTGACTCCATAAATGTGAAGTGTAATTAGCTATGAGAAATTAAAATGAAAAATGATGCTCCCTCCGTCCCGTTAAAAATGGGACATGAGGGAGTGACACGCAAATCAATAAAAATGGTTTATGTGATTGATATTGAATTGATAAAGTAAAAATAAAGTAAGAATGATTTAGAGTCACACAAACTTTATCAAATTTGGTATGGGACAATCTTAGTGGGACGGACCGATAAGGTAAAATGGGACAATCATAGCGGGACGGAGGTAGTAACAGATAGCAGACATTGAAAAATTTCAAAACAATATTGAAAACGTAGTATAACTCGAGGGGTTTAACACATTTTTTAAATGACCTTGGGGTTAATGCGCTAAATTTCCGTATCACGGGTGATTTGGTGAAATAAGATAACTCTAACGAATAAAAATGTGACTTTTTAAAATCACGGACCACAGTTATATATTCAATAAATTGTATATTGGTCATTATTTAAACCCTTTGATTTAAAATATTGGACATTATTTAAGATAATAAAGGTCAAATAAGTAAGAGAATCATAATGCATTAAATAAATAATTTTTTTTTTAATCCTGTTTTTCTTTTTCACCCCTTATTACTCACCCAAACATATTTGACACTGAATACATGAATACTATGTTTATTCTATGTTCCACTTTTACTTCAAATAACTTATATTTTACTTTGAAACCTACAGTAAAACAGCTTAAAAGACATAAAAACTATTTAATTTTGACACATATATCGCTGACTGGGTCCACCCCCAGTTGCAATACTTTTAATTTGTTATTTGTTAATATGATTTTGATTATTAATATTGACGATTAGCTAGCAAAAATCAAGGAGTATAAAAAGTCAGATTTTATTTTTTTAATCCGATGGACTTTGCCAATGAGAAATTTGTTTAGTCAGATTTTTGGTGAGAAATAAGAAAAGTAAAAACTACGTGGTTGAAATTTGTGTAGAGGAGAAGTAATATTTTGTATTGGAAAATTGTGAAAAATGGAAAATGTTAATTTTTAATCAGAATAAAATAAAATCAAAATAGAGTGTGAAACAAATTAAAATTCAACTAATTGGGAATAATACTTATTTTTAAATGGAAAAAGTTAATTTTATTCTCATAAATGCTTAGAATATTTTAATTTATATGTACTTAACTGTAAAATTACATTCGTCAAACAAAAAATATGGTCATAGGGGCAAATTATACCGTATGACCGGTAACGGTGAGCACCGTATACCGGTATACGGACTTCTTTATTTTTTTTCTTTTTGTTTTAAAAAAAATGGTAATAACTTTTTTTATTTTTGATCCGATTTTTATAAAATTTATATCAACATTTTTTATTTTTCATGATCTTTCAAATGAGACCAATATTGCTTATGTAATTTTAAAAAATTATCGAACTATTATATTAATGAGTATTGGATTATAAGGAAAATCGAACTAAATTTAATACAGAAAAATAATTGTGTAAATCACAATGTATCTTAAAATTGTGTATATAAAAAATTTATTGTAATATATATATTTTTACACGTAAAGTTACATATATATACACACGAGTTGCATTTGGCCTGCCTGAACGCGAGTTACATATTTTTACACGTAAAGTTACATATTTTTACATGTAAAGTTACATATTTATACACGCGAGTTACATATTTATACACACGAGTTGTATTTGACCTATCTGAACGCGAGTTACATATTTTTACACGTAAAGTTACATATTTTTACACGTAGTGTTACATATTTGTACACACGAGTTGCATTTGGTCTGACTGGACGTGAGTTACATATTTCTACACGTAAAATTACATATTTTACATAGGTTAATATAATAGTTCGATAATATGTTAAAATTACATAGGCAATATTGGTCTCATTTGAAAGATCATGACAAGTAAAAAATGTTGATATAAATTTTATAAAAATCGAATCAAAAACAAAAAAGTTATGACCATTTTTTAAAAAAAAAAGAGAAATAAAAAAATAATACTCTCCACTTCAAACCGTATGTCGGTATACGGTGCTCACCGTATACCAGTCATACGGTATAACAAGTGGGTCGGTCATAGGTGTTGAGATAATTTTTTATATAGAATTCAGGATGACTTTTATATATACTCTTTTTGTTCATATTTAATGTTCTCACTTTCTTTTTTTGAACTTCACTTTTCTAAAAAACAATGCTAAAGTGTCAAACATTGCCAAAAGTGTCCAAATAGTGTCTCAAACAGTCACTTTCTTAATATATGTGCAATTTGAAATGGGAACATTAAATAGGGACAAAAGAAGTACTTCCTCCATTTCTTTTTAATGGCAACAGTCCACATTTCATGTTTGCCAACACACAAATTTGACTATTAATATTTTTCATTCCTTATTAATAAAAATTTTAAAAAATTCAGATTTTGAAAATTTAAAACAAAAAGAATTTAACAATATTTTTTAAAAAATTAATGTATAATACATTAATAAATAAAATATAGTCAAAGTAGAATATGTGAGTAGTGCAAAAAGTCCAAAGTTGCGATTAAAAGAGAACGGAGGTAGTATATATATTATACAAGTTTAGGTACTTGGGATGTTTTTACTTGGACTGACATTTACTGGTCTGGTAAATGTCTGGTCTCTGTCTGATGGATCCGACCTAGGGGTAGCCGGAATCCATGATTAGGATTTATAGAAGAGAATGAAAGTGCCAAGTAAGATCGGGTAGAAAATCGGAAGAGTAACAAGTTCTTACAGCAAAAATCGAACCCCTTTCCACAAGTTAGAATTATACTAAGGGGGGAATATTTGGCCAACAAATAAAAAGATGTTATTCTATTGTAGTGAGGACACGTACATGTCTTGTCTGCCTAACATCATGTACTAGTCTAATAACATGGTGAACGTGTAAAGGTGATTAGAGTAACATTCGAAAATCTGATTTGGGACAACTCGCTGATTGGTACGGTGCGTAACAGATTTGTACCAGAACCCACGTGTGTGCTACACGTGTATAATTCAGAATATTCCTTGTGGTGACTGTCAGAATGATGTGGCCCAATAGTGATAGTAGGGGTGGACTCGGGTCCGGGCCGGGTCCGGGTCGAGCCTAGGCCCGGGCGGGCCGGCGAGTCAGAAATGGTGGACCCGGGACCGGCCCGGGTAACCACCGGGTCCGGTCCGGGTCCGGGCCGGGCCGGGCCCATTATAATTTTTTTTTTGTTTTCCTCTTCCTAATTAACCCCCCTCCCACCCCCAAACCACCCCAAATGGCCCAAAATACCCAGATCAGCCCAACCCAAAAATTTAAAAAAATTGAAAAAAAAAATTGTTTTTGGCCCGAACCGGGTCGGGCCTTGTTTTGGGTGACCCGAGCCCGGACCGGAAAACCCACGGGCCGGGCCTACCCGGACCGGTCACTGACCGGGCCACCGGGTCGGGCCGGGCCAGAACAGTACCGGTTCCGGGTCGGGCCACCCGGTTCGAGTCCATACCTAAGTGATAGTGACGTGGATGAGACTTGATACTTGATTGCTGAGATGTCTGGTGAGGCCTCGAGCTCCACATGCGGGGTGATGGGGGTCGAAGCTCAGGTACAGTGAGCTTATCTTGGAGGGGTTGACCTCGATCTTCTGTTTTTCCGATAGCGATGGTTCCCTAGTTCTTGTTGGTTTCAGTTAACTTTGGTTTGACTTCATATTCATGACCGAGGTCAGATCTGGCGCCGACCTCGAATGGGGTCGAGCTCAAATTTGATCCTATCTTGATAATCTAGGCCATCTAGGGGCCTAATGTTGGGCCGACCTCTAGTGGGTCGAGGTCGACCTCGACAGGGCATTGACTTGGTATACGGGAGACTCCTTGTTCATGAATGTTTGATATCCATGAGGCATATGGGATATAATGGAAATATACTTTATCACTGTCTATTTTATAACTATCCAAATCTAATCTAAGACTGAAAATAGTCGAAGTAAAAACATCCTTTTATATATACACTTTCAAAGTTTAGAATATTTAAATTATCTTTCCCTGTATTTAAACACATACCGAATATGTATTTATGCAAATGAATATAACATACCAAGTATCAAAATTTGTTTACAACTTTAAGTTGTTCTTCGGTTATGTAGGGAAAAAAGGTTTTCTTGTCGAAATCGTGATGCAAAAGCCAAAACCAATAGTTGATTCACTTGATTGTACATTGTTATTATAATCATAGTACGGAGTATTTTCATATTCCCTCGCTTCCGTTGAACCACACATCGATACGGTTGACTTTAGTAAACAGTTAAATACTACGTACAAAAAAACCCAACTAAAGACCGAAATATCAACAAAATAAAACTGCAATAGCATTTTGAATATATTCTGTATGTCAAGAAACAAAGGAAAAAACATAATCAGAATCGGACCATAGAGAGCTTATTTCTTTGAAAACCATGTCCTCCATATAAAACAAGGCCATTCATTCTTACCATGCTTCCTATTCTACTAAGGTTCCTAACATATATCCTCAGATCCAGAGCTATGTCATCATGAGGCAGCAAAAATGACTTGAGAAAACGTGAACTCTCCCAAAATTCCAGTCAAGTTGGGTGTGAAAAAAAGATATAGCGTTCAAGAATTGAGTTTAAGCAGAAGCCTTGGCTGTACTCCTTGTAAAATTTTCAATGGCAGTTTGGAGTTTAAGTACTGCACAAAACAGGAGGAAACTTTAGTATACAATAGTAAAAATATAAACTGGTTTTCCATGTATACTTTTGTGTATTCTAAACACCATCCACATTTCTTATCCCCTGCTAGAAAAGGGTTGCTTGGGTTACTCATGTTCTGACCAGAATAAATAATTCATCAATGGCCACCCTCTCAGATTATCATTACCAAATACCAATACGGTATATTTAGAACTACTTGGGTCTAAAGAAGAGAAATTCCCTAAAAAGGAGTACAACATTGCAAATTTTCTCAAGTAAGAGTTGCAGAGTTGCATTTTTTTCTTCCCAAAATAAGACTCATGCACTATTTAGAGAAGTTTTTATTCTTTCAATAGGACTAAATAACTCCTAGTTTAGGAAGAAAAGATACTTGACCCTATTTTGGAACTTTGTCTATGTTTTGATCCTACTTTGAGCAGTTCCTAAAGAAAATATGGAGGAGAATAGAGAGAATAAAACTGAACGGAAAAACTTTACGGGAAAATATATGACAAAACTTTGAGCTCAAAGTTTATAAATTTGATTTAAATATTTTTCATGCTTATTTTATTGATCAATTTCTATTATAAAAACAGCAACTTCAAAGTGCATAAAAATCTACATTTAGTAAAATTGACTGAATTTAACATTTCTTCATTTTTTTAGAATTATAACAAAACATAAGAAAATATAACTTCCCTTGGCATTTAGTTTCACTTTCACTAGCATTTCCCAGGATCCAAACATACCACTCAATCCCTCATAAAGAAAAAGCAGTTACGCTAACCTTTGTTACATCCCTGTAAAATGCACTAATCTCCTCTTCAGTAAGTCCTCCTTCATCAGCATTTTCCTCCCACCCCAAAGAACGCAAAAAAGCAGCTTCTTCCTCCTCAGAACACAAGAGTGCATCTGGACTGGGATGAGTCTTGACATTTCCAATGAGCATTTTCTCTTCATTGAGGACATACTTTTTGTCCGACTCACTATCTTGACCCTGAGAAGCATATTGTGGAGTTGAGGTATCCGGATCAACAAGAGTTTCAGATGAAGCACCCGAGTCTCCCATAGATTTCTTCTTCCTCATAAGATTAAAGAAATCATTTCTGCTCCGAGCTTGAGATGAAAGTCTCTTATCAGGCTTACCCTCAGCGGCAGTGGGAGATACTGGGTTAGAGCTGGACCTTTGCATTGTTGTCATTGCTGCTTTCACATCTCGGCTTGGCTCTGATGTGGTATTTGAAACAAAGGAAACACCGTTCCTCTCTCGAGTTGGTTTGAGAACGAGCAGCTTTCTAGATGTCTTTGAAGCATCAGAAGTTGCTAAGCCCTCAGCACGAACAGAGTGATTGGAGAGATGGGATGGTGAAGGGAGATGGTTTTGGGGACGTGGCTCCAGAACCTTGGACTTGCTCCTATCTGAAGGATTCAGTGCCTAAAATTAAGAATGCAATCATTAAGCATTTAGAAGAATTATACGATATATACGTCTGTGCTCAAAAGACAAAGACAGTAGTATCAATAATACTCCCTCCATTCCCAAAAATGTTATATTTCATGAAGGTGCGTCGTTTTACTTGTAATAAGGTAAACTCTTGTAAATTGTACTTGTATTTTTAAATTTGTTTGTTAAACAATATAAAGCATGGAGTTTGTTGTTGTTAAACAATATAAAGCATACCTAGCTTGGCTAGGAGAGTTTTAAACAAATTACATTATGTCCATAAAAGGTTTAACTTCTTTTGTTGAAATAAGTTTTGAAACAAGACTGCGCATCACTTAACTTGTAAAATGAACATGCATAACAGAATGCAGGACCAGTATAATAGTTCATATGGATAACAAGAAATAAAGCAAATAGTAAAGATATCGTTGCATATTAGACGTATAAAACTAAGCAGAATCTAGCACGGGAGATATCATTGCTCTCTATCTCATTAAGGTTCATAGTAGCTGAAGTAATCATATTTTTTTAATTTCCATATTGACTTTGATCTCTCTCACACACATTAATATTGATGGTAGTTGAAGTTACTGTATTGTAATATCATCCCTCTCAAGGAGGGTTATTAGAAGCAATTGTGATACAGTACGATGCCAATCAAAGATCCATCCTCAAGTGAAATTAACAAGCATAGTCCCCATGACATAGGAATAATGCTAGTCCTATGAAGAAACAAACTTGACAAGGGAAAGTCCCACACTTACAGCATAGACTGCACTCCTTGAGTGCAACATCTCAGGAGTTGAATGTAAAATTGGATTAAAAATGACTAGTTAGTTGGAACGACACATGTGTGAAGTTGCATATTTCGCAGTATTTAGACTCCAATATACTCCCTTCGAATTTTAAAGATTGCTACATATGGTTTCGGCACATTATTAAGAAGGAAAGTAGGGGTAATGAATAGTTAAGAAAAAGTAGGAGAGAGTGTAAAAGTATGAAAGAGAAGATAAAAAAGTAAGGGTGGTTGAGTATTTTTAAATGGAAAACTTACCAAAAAAATGTAGCAAACTTTAAAATACGGAGGGAGAAGTACAATAGGAGCAATAATGTACATGGTTAAAACAAATGTTTCAAAAGAATGAGAGCATTACTAAAAACATATATCAAAGCTTACAGTACACCATTTACTCTCTATAACCAGTCCGCGTGGATCATTCTAAGCAGTCTAAGACTATCTAACACCACTTATAGGAAATTATAAAAAATGCGCAAAGTGCCATATGAATTATTTGGAGATAGAATGATAAACTTGAAACCAGCAATTGTTATCAAGAGCCAATACTATGTAGAACTCAATAGATTGTAAAAAAGGGATCACAAACACTTTATACTACACTTATTTTATTTTTTGAATTATATTTGAAAAACAAACATCAAGGGATAAAGAGTGATTAAGCTACAACATTATATTTTGAAGTTCTTAAGAGCTACAGTAAGAACCCATACCATGATTTTTGGTGCAGATGGAGTTACAGGAATTAATATCCTAGACTGTTTAATAGCTAGGTCTTCAAACCTCTGGTTTCCATTTGACACCTGTCGTAGAACAGAACCAGTGCATAATGAGAACAAAAAAGATCCTACATGAAGATGTATACAGCTAGAAGGAAATTCGAACCATACCTGGGAAGCTGTCTGAACACGTGGACTTTTTGCCACTGCTTCAGCCATATTAAAACCAGACACAGTCGGTGTTCCCATTGTTAGAGGGATAAAAGATGAAACAACTTGAGCAGACGAAGTGCCTAAACCGCCATCAGCAACATCACTAACAGTAGGAGAAGGAACTTCTGCCAGAAGTGATGTCCATTTATCACCATTCTTAACAGCACTCACACCGGGAGAGAGGGCCCTTCCCATTCCAGTACCATGGGACACAAAACCTCTTTCAGATTCATATTTATCAGGAAAAGGACCATTGGGGTAGCTTTTATTATTATTTTCACCACTGCATGAGCTCATAATCCCCTTCTCGCTGTGTCTTTCAGAAGTGGTCATCAGCTGCGAAGGCCTATTAAACCCATCCTTCAGAGTCCTATTCCCTAAATTTTTCTTTGCCACATCAGAGTTATCATACTTATCTACATACCGGTCCCTAGAGCGACGGTTTCTTCCAAAGTTACTATAAGACAAAGGGTGGTGATCAGAATTGCTCCTATTGGAGGTCCGGTTGGATTGATTAGTAGCAAGCGGCCTCCCTAAATTGTTACTGGTCCCATTTACTGGTGATGACTTACTTCTAGCGAATGTTGATGCTTCATAAACACCTAAAAACAGGGAGAACATAATAAGGTAAACAGCCCATACTTGATGAACAGTGTATGTATTTTTACAGATATCAAACTCATATAAATGTGGGCATAAACTTACCCGATTGCAATGAAGAAGTAGCGGCACTTGCTGGTTTATTTCCAACGCTTTTCAACCACTCTGGTGCTAATTTAGGCTCACTCTTATCCATCTCCAGCGCCAAGCCGTGATCACAAATGCACAAAAGCCATGGAAGGACTTAATGAAGACACCAACTACTGGTTCGTGGGAAAAGAGGCCAGCCAGGATCAACAGTGACGGGGTTAACGCAGAATTGCGAACATTAGATTACCAGACATAGATTAATAGCGAAGACTAATCCGAGTGCTAATGCTATTACCAAGCGTACATTATCTATGTCAACTGGAACAGATAATGATTCCTTCTACGGTCCTAAACAAACTCTTCACTCACTTTTACAGTCGAATTAGGGCAATAGGCCAATTCTCGACCTATAAAGAAAAGCTAAATATCCAACGACCAATTAAAAAACGGAGAAATTGAAAACCCTAGACCAATTGACCATTAGGTATACTAATGCTCCATGCCCGGATAACAATACCCTCAAAACAACCCGGCCTGGCAGAACGAATAACAAAGAGCAATCGCACACCCAATCAATTCGATTAAATTGCAATCCAAATCGAACCCAGACCTTCACATAAAAAACCTAACCTAGTCGCGCGATTCTTGTTACCAGGAATCACCAACGGCTCAGCTGGAAAGCGATTCTCCGAGAGGGGAGGGAAAAAATCTCAAGAATTCGGATAGTTGGAGGATTGTAGGAAGTGTGTTTCGTATGTGTGATGCAAAGTGCAGGCGCTGTGAATTCGCGGGGTAGATAAAGCCGGAGAGACCCGAGGAGAACCGGTTTCGATTGCGCCGTATTGAAAGAGGAGATTGCAGATTTATATAGTCTGTGTGTAAGTGGAGGAGAGACCGAAAGAGAGAGGAGAGGAGAAATGTTAAGCGGCCGGGGAGAGGGGTAGTAGTGAGTAAGTAGGAATGGAAACAAATTTTATTTCAGTAGGGCCGCAGGAGTTCAATGTGTGTGAACAATCGGCCTTTTTTCTTGTTTGTGAAGGACTTGGGCTCTCACAATGCAATTTTTTTATTAAAGAATTTTATTTATTTCGTGTAAATAATAAAAATCACACCAAAACACAAGTCAAAGGACCATTTAAAGTTTGAACTTATTCTTTCGCTGTGTTTGGACATTGAATCTTCACCCAATAATTAGTTAGTTCGATTGTTTTAGCGTTACGCTCATATTCTATGTTCGGTGAACAAATGTCGATTCTAGCGTTTCGGATGAAGTGTCACAAACTAAGACTTTGTAAATACAAGAGTTTAGATTTGGGTTTTTTCAAATAAATATTGAATTCCAAAATCTGCCATGTAATCTTCGTAAGTAGTGAGATTTTTTTCATTGTTGTTTCTGGTATAGAAGAAATGCAAAATGATCATAGTTTGTCTCATTGTATATCTTTGTTTTTGTTATGGTGGGGAATAGTATTTTTGGCCTGTCATTCTTTGTTTTTGTTTTGTTTTTGTCTCATGTGGAGAACGGTGACAAAAAATGAACAGTATTGATCATTACTCACTAGCGCACAACGATGACATTGAGTAGTGGCCAAAATCCAACTATGATGAGAAAGCTAGTGTTAATGAAAAGTTGATGACTATTAGTGCACGTCTGGTGTTGGGACTTGAGGTTAAAAGAACAAAGTTATTAACAGTGACATGGTGCCTGAATTCCTGAACACATTACTGAATTTTGATACTTTCCTGTTAAATTTAACTTGAGCGTGTCATGTCTGTATATGTTAATTTTACTCATTATCTTTGTAGACAAAGATGTTAATTATGTATCATAATCTTGAGTAAACACTTATGGTCCTTTTTGTTCTACATGAACATAAACATAACTCTTCGTGATTTATCTCGAGGTGCACTTGTTGTTTTTGAAAACATGTTTCGACTTCAAAGAAACATCTAAATATCCAATTTCAAAGAATCTTAAAATCATGAAGGAGCATGGCGTGAGGTTAAGTTCTTAATTTGTGTCAATATTAACCTCAGAGTGATCAAAACTACATCTTTGCACATGCACGTGAATCACTTAGGCCCGTGTTGACATTTTTACTGGATTTGTGTTTAACAAATTTAGTTAAACTTAGTCGAGCCAAATTGGTACTGACATTGATGCTAGAGGTTAACTAAAGTGAAGAAATGGATTGACTATAATGAAATTTTGTATCTTGTGAAGATGCATGTGATTCTCAAACCACTTAAATGTTCAACTTGATTGGGGTGCTTACATGGCTTCACGTGGACGATAGGAAATAGAGTAAGTCTACATATACTTGGTTTGTACGTTTATTATTGGCATGTGTTCATTGAGTGACAACTTTTTACCACTTAAGAGCATCTCCAATATTACAACGTACACGGCATAACATGCATCATTTTCATTTTCATTTACCCCAGTGCCGCAAAGGCTCCCACCTACGGTGGGGTAAGGGGGGTCGGATGTACGCAGTCTTACCCCTGTACTAAAGCACAGAGAGACTGTTTCCGGATGACCCATAGTGAAAATCGCGTCCAAGATTGCATGGACTGACTGCTGCTCCATAACAAAGAAGCGCAGACAGTTTAGTGAGCCATTTTGCTTTATTCCATCATAACCTCAAGCCAAAAAATAATGAATCTTTGGCTCCATTGCAAATGATGGAAATACACGGCATAACATGCATAAGAGAATAAATTCATCACACTTATCTATCCTTATTTCCACGATCTTATGCATTTTTGGAATGTTTTTCTGTACAATATTAGTCACAGTAATGTTTGCATCTGGGTATTGTTGGAAAAATGTGTTAAAAAATGCATTGGATGGTCATTTTGGGGAAATTATTTGAGTGGGGTCCACTTCCGATTTGGGTCGGGTTAAAGTGATTTCGGATTGTCCTTGCTAAGGGCTACAATTCGATATATGGTACGCTCAAAACGGATAACGGGTGAATGAGAAATTGATTCTTGAAGTTCACTCGTTGAAATGGAAAAACTGGGAAAATGATGGGTTTCTAGTGTGTTTTATCCCGCATCGGAAAACTCGAGGGATTTTCACCCCCTTATAAAGGGAAGCCTCTTTTAAGAAGTTAAGATTCCTAAAGGTAAAGGCTCTCTCTTACGCGCAGGGGGGGGTGCCGATCAAATCCCGAAATGGAGAAGAAAAACCGTGACTCGTGTGCGTGGGCGACCTGCGAACATGAATGCCGTCCGAAAAATCTATCATTCAAAGATACGGTTCTGTCTGGAACAGAGATGCTCGAGTTCTTTCCGCAACAGAAACCCTTGAGGTCTTCTGTTCGCAACAGAGACCCTCGAGGCCTTCTGTTCGCAATAGAAGGTCTTCTGGCCCGTTACAGCAATAAATGTCCAACATTCTTCTCTTTTAATGCTGCGTTAAATGGACAGTTTATGGACCATTCAATGCCCAACGGACTGGTCATTGATGTCCAACGTTCAGGTCCATTAACACCCCATTTAACACACAACAAATCCTCCTATAAATAGCTGACAGGTGGTTTGCAACAACACACAATACATTCCTCACATTTCTCTTGAGCTAAAAACACTTCCAGCTACTCTGCAAATTCCTTCTGTGTTCATACTTGGTTCTCGTTCGCTGGAACTCTTGTTTGTGTGTTGAAACATTAGTTCGTAGTCATCGTATCCTGGGAAACGATTGTTGCAACGCTCCTAGCACCGTGGGAGGCAACAAATACGTTTTAAGGACATCGTGCGTAGCACGAGCTTTGACTAATTCTGCTTCATCTCCTTTTTGTTTTTCTCTAGTCATTTTATTTAATTAATTAATTTTAATTAATTTCCTTTATTTTCCGAAACACACTCAACAGGTATTGTACTTGACAATGTGGAGAATGACTTACCACAAATATATAAGGCCGTTCAAATACAGAGAGAAATATTCGACTTAATAATGTTTATGTATCTATCTTTCTTATGTCATGTATACATCGTTTACATTTTTGCGTTGAAGATGCTCAAATAAACATGTGTCATCAAATAAGAATCTTCACATATAATCAATTCTCAAAAATAAATGTGCATTTAAAATTATTGATATGAAATGAAACAGTTGTAAGTTGAAGTATTTTAGAGATAATTTGTCTTAGGGCCTCCCTAGGACATACGAAGATGATGAGTGATGAAGAATTTTCTAAGTGATTAAGCTTGAGACATGATATTCGATGAGATTATTTGATAAAATATTTGAGAATGGGAAGAGTCAAGATTGCGGATAATGACACAAATGATACTACCGATTTTTTATTTGACAAAAATGATACTTATATTTAATTTGGACAAAAAGTGACTAAATTGAGCTGAATGGTCCAAAATGCTCTTAATATAAAAAACTAGCCCTAAACCTTCTTAGCCCCTTCTTCATCCAATTCATTCGCCTACCAATTCGCACTACCGCTTTCACCTGTTAGAAAATGTGTTAATAAATTGCATTAAATGATCATTTTGGGATAATTTTTTGAATAGGGTCCACTTCCGATATGGGTCAAGTCAAAGTGATTTCGGATTGTCCTTTCTAAGGACTACAATTCGATATGTGATACACTCAAAACGGATAACGGGTGAATGAGAAATTGATTCTCGAAGTTCACTCGTCGAAATGGGAAAAACTAGGGAAATGATTGGTTTCTAATGTGTTTTATCCCACACCGGAAAACCCAGGGGATTTTCACCCCCTTATAAAGGGAACCCTATTTAAAGGAGTTAAGATTATTAGGTGGAAAGGCTCTCTTCACGCGGGGGGGGGGGGGGGGGGGGGATCAAATCGTGAAAATGAAGAAGAGAATCGCGACTTGTGTGTGCGGGCGACCTGCGGACACGAATGCCGTTTGAAGATTTAATTTTTGCTTCTTCCCCTAACGTTCCTATTTTATTTCAGGTCCATCCCGTTGGAGCAGGTTGCTGCTCTGTTAAATGACCGCAGCAGCCTGCCGCTGGCGTTACAACACCATAAATGTCCAACGTTCATGCAATTAAATGGACATTTATGGACGAATCAATGCCAACGTGTTGGACATTTATGACCAACGTTCATGTCCATTAAAAATGTTATTAACGCACAACAAATCATCCCTATAAATAGCTGCATGTGGTTTGCAACAAACACAACGCACAATACATTCTTCACGCATTTCTTCAGCTAAAAAACACCTCTAGCTTCTGTAAACATTGCTCCGTGTTCATACTTGTCCTCGTTCGCCAGAACAATTCATTTGAGTGCTCAAACAGTTGTTCGTAATCATCGTATCCTGGGAAATGATCATTGCAACGCTCCTAGCACCCCGGGAGGCAACGAATACGTTTTAAGGACATCGTGTGTAGCACGAGTTTTGGCTAAATTCTGCTTCATTTACTTTCTCTTTTATTTAGTCATTTTATTTAATTAATTTTATTAATTATTTTCTTTGTTTTTCGAAACACACCCAACAACTTAAAATGTATTCCTTGATTGATGTAGTGCGGTAAACAATCTTAAATTGTAGTTTGTCACTCTTGTGAACAAACTTGATTTTTTGTGTTTTCGGAAAACTTAAGAAAACGAAAAATGACTTTTCAAGAAAACCAGAATGTTGTTGGGCAGAATGTGTTGAACGACACTCACTCAAAAAGCGGAACTCCGGTGAACGTCAATTCACAATGTGGTGCATCTGCTTTGGCCAACCAAGGGGCAATCCCTATAGTTACTGTATCGAGCAACTCTGTGGAGAAACCTGAAAATTCAATGGGTTAAACTTCAAGAGGTGGCATCAATTATACATTTGTTTCCGCCGGTTTGGAATGATTTCAAGAACTGCCTTAAGCATAAGCGAAAGTAAATAAACTTGGAGCAGTTGATCCTCCGTCTTCGGATTGAAGAGATAACCGGAAGAACGATGGGAAACTCTCAATCATTAACGGCGCCAAGGCAAAC